ATATATATATATATATAATAACATAGAACATAATAAAGAGCAAAATAGAAAGCAATGTCCCATTTTTGTCAAAGAAATATTTACAATTTAAGTGTCCAACAGATTAATGGGTAAAGAAAATGTGATACATATGCACAGTGGAATACTCTTCAGCCATAAAAGGGTGAAATCCGGTCATTTACAACAACACAGATGAATCTAGAGGATGTTAAATTAAGTAAAATAAGCAAAACATAAAGAAACAAATACTCCATGATCTCACTCATATGTGGAATCTAAAACAATTGATCTCCTAGAAGTTGAGAGGAGTATGGTGATTACCAGAGACTGAGGAAAGCAGGGGTAGGTAGGGTTGGGTGTGGTTAATAGGTACTAAATTACAGATCGATAGGAGGAAGTTCTGGTGTTCTGTTGTATGCAGTATGATGAGTTTTGGTAAAAACAATGTATTGCATATTTCAAAATTGCTAAGATAGGATTTTGAATGATCTTATTACAATGATAGGATAGCTGTTTGACATGAAGGATATGTACACTGAATACCTTGATTTGATCATTTCACAAATCATGATCAATTAAAACTCTACTTTATAATTATGTGCAATTATGTATCTATAAAAATAAAGTAAAACTAAACTAAGAAATACTATACTGTTTCTCTGATGATTCCAAAGATGTCTAGAAAAACTTTGTATATGACTGAAGAAAAACCAAGGGACACACACAAAAAAAATAAAAAAGGAAAAATTAAAAGAAACAGGGCCAGAGATTTAGCTCAGTGGTTCTACCACCTGCCTCGCAAATGCAAGATCCTGAGTTCAATCCCTGGTACAAAAAAAATCAATAGAAACAACATAGCAGCCTTTTAATGTTGACTGATATTTCTGAGCTTTTCTTTTCAAGTGTGGAGAGTTGTGGGAAGGTAGGAAATTGTTTTAATAAAAATTTCTGGCTGGTTGTGCAGCTCAGTGGAAAAGCATATGCTTAGCATGGGAGAAGCCTGGTTTTGATCCCTAGAACCATATAAAAAAGTATCAAATATTTTAAAAATTTGTGATACATGTGTATCTTATATGATAAGGCAGTAACCAACTTCCTTTATACTCTAAATGAAAGCAGAAATTTATGTTGAAAATAGTTTAACATGTTGCAAGTTTGTGTGGTGAAAATATATTTTTACCATGTTGCAATTTTATTACAAACAAACAGAATTCAATTAAATAAGAATTCCTAGTAGACAACATTCTTATTGTGATATTTTTGGTTAGTATCGTGTTTGTGATATTTGTTCATATGAAAAGAAAATGGATATTTTCTTCACAGGAAGACACATTTTCCCTACAAGGATTTTTCAAGATAAATATTTGCCTGATTTAGATTTCTCTTATCTGGTAAGGGGAATTTTACGGCAGCTCATTTTGCTGATCTGTGGGTTTCTCTTATATACAATATAAACAGCATAAAAGAAGAAGTAATGTGGTTTCCTATATTGCAAGACTTCCAGTGCCACAAGACTAGCTTTAATATAACTCTATAGATGTCATATGAAGCATAGATAGGGTGGAGGACAGAAGGAATTTGGGTGTTTAATGAAAAGAATCCATAGTGGAGTTTTGGTAAATATTTTTTGAATCGAGTTGAACTGAGCTAAATTTTTATTAGATAAAAATTTTTGCTCGGTATTTTCTGAAACCATAGCAAGGAATTCCAATTGCTATTTGTTTAACTATTTTGTGATGCAAAAAAAAAAAAAATAGAAAAGTGGAGGAAAAGCCATTGTAGACTTGAAGTTAAAAGATCAAATTTGAGGTGCAGCTTGTTATTAACTTGCTTAGGACTTTAAGCACTTCAGCTCTGACATTTTATGGTTACAGAGAAAGCACAGAAAAGGAGGTAAAATCATGTAGGAAACTATTTCAACTTCAATCTGATCTATCCCGGGTTCCTTGGTTCTTTTGGCATCTGAAAATTCTGATTCACTTCTTTTCCTTCTCTACTTGGTAATGAACCTCACAAGGTCTCTATGCCTCTCCCCACACGGAGGAGAATGACGTGTGCAAAGCCCTTGGCTTCATCTTCAGACAGACGGTAGTACCTTGTAGTGTCCCTAAAAGCACAACAAATTGATTATTGAGTTAAGAATTCGTAAATAAACTGCAAATCTTCTGTTTAGTTTATGTTTACTCAAATGAAAGTGGGAGAAAGGCAGTCCGGACTAATGGCAAAGAATTTTTTTTAGATTCTTCCGTTCTAGAGTTAGACACTGACGCCTAGTAATCCCTGAACCAAACAATACCTTCGTGATGACCACCTTCTGTTGAGAGCGCCAAAACCGGACCAACCTCTCACAGAGATACAGGAACATGGGACCTACTATCCATTTCCAAGTCTGTAATCAGAGCAAAAATGAAAATGAGATTTGTTAAGAGTAAATAATTGGTAAAAGATTCTGAGGGAGAGAAAATTGTACAAGGTTAATTTTTGTAGACTTGCTTAGACATTTGACATTGATAAGTAAATATCTTCTATAACAGAATGTATGAAAATAATTATTTGAAATTATGTTAAATTGTTGATCCAGTAAAAGTGAACACTTGCCTTAGCTACAATGGGGAACAATATCTGCAGTATGAAAGTTTCCGAAGAGGAACAGCCTGCAAGATTTCCTCTCAGTGTCACAACTGCAGTTGCAATAAACCTACACTATAGGAAGGGTGGTTTCAGAATCAATATTTCTCTACAGGATTGCATTCCAACAACCTTGCAATTGCTTTATCTCAGCCATGGAGTCAGAGATTAATCTGTTGCAAGATGACAAATTTTGTGCAAGACTGCAGCTGTTTCTTCAGTATTCTGGTAATTTCCAGGAGCTACACAACACATTTGCTGAATGAGGACAAACTCAGAGATTCTTAGACTTCTGTTTATGCCCCTCTTGACAGAATATGCAGTGTTTCAGAAGAGTGGAATTACTCTGTAGCATATATAAAAATATGCTATATAAAAATATGTAGTCCAAATTGATCAAGCCTGGGACTCTGCTAATTGGATTTCTAGTTTAATGCCTGAAGTAACAAAAAACTTCAGAAGGCAATAGCATTTAAAATATGGCTTTCCAGAATGAATTCCATGAAAGGAAAACATCAGAAAGTGTTTCTCATAGTTTCACATATGATCTTTCTATTAAATTATGTTTTTTAGTTTTAGTAAACAGATTGCTGGAAGTTTAGAGCACTTAAATGCCCACATCTCCAGGCAAAGCTGAACAATATCTGCACCAGAAGACAAGAATATTATGCTACTAGAATTCATTTTTATGGGACAAGTATTTAACATAGCCTTATATCTGTTCCCTGGTTGCCACCGTGGTGCCATTGAATGGGGCCAGATTTTAGTATTGCCTCCAATATATCTAGACATTGAGAAGTTCCTTTGAAGTAGATGCCTGTTAAGGTAGTAGTACTCTGATTCTAGCTGTCTTCAAGGAAAAATTCCTTCCCCAGTCCATAAGAGGACTGGAAAAACAGTTCCTTTTTTTGTGGTGTTGAGGATGAAACCCAGGGCCTTAAAAATACACTCTTTTTCCTTTTAGTCTTCTATTCATGTCTAATGTACTGAGTGGGGGCAGTTTACTGATGTGTATAGTTGCTTTCATTAATGAACAAGGATGCTCAAAAATGTTAAAACTTCATAGCATGCTGTACTTAGAGGAAGGGTACTCCCATACCAAGAGACTAGAAAGGAAAAAAATGGGATGATAAATTTACCTTTATGTCGTACCATGCATAAGGAAAAAATAAGTCTGCTGAGAAGCCCATACAAATGTTGATTTTCATCTAGTTTCACAACAATGGCTAGGACAATAACCAATAAAATGTACAGTCTTCCAATGGAGGAGAAGATATGAAGATTACAGGATGCATTTGTCATGGAGTAGAAATATTGAGCATACACAAAATGGGGTTCTTCAGAACTTATAGGAGAAAGAAAATATTTCACCCTTTGTCACCCTTGTCACACTCCTACCCTATCATGAGGTGTCATTGGGTATTTGTGTCAACCTGGATGTCTAGTCTCCTTTATGCCCAATAGACTTTATCTTCTAATGCCTAAAAGCAGCTTCATGTGATATCTCATCAATCTTCTTCTCAATTTTGAAAGTTATACAGAAAAGTCTTAACTTTCTGACACTTGAAGAGGTCCCTAGCTGCTTATAAGTGATTTATCTGAGCTATCTACTTCAGCTAAGGATAGAATCATAAGTGCTCCACTAAAAATCATTAACTGGTTTGATGGTGGTATTTACATTCAGAAGAAAAGGGATGAAACTCCTTGAACCCAAATAGCATTTTCAACATATTGATCTCTCAAGTTTTATATCAGTACATTGAAAACAGACAAATGTGAAGTTTGTTTTTTTAAAAATTATTCTAGTCAATAAGTATTATAGAAAAAAGTAGACGCTCATAACATCTTAGAAGTTTCATGACATTTGTAAAGGACAATTCTATGACATTTTTACAATTCCTAGACATAGTTGAAGATTGCCAGTAATAAAATTTTAAGAGCAGCAGTGAATTGTACATACCATAGGAGGGTTCCCAGAAAACTCTGGGATTGGGCATTTCTCTATTTTTCCCCACTGTGATATACTTTGATTACATACTGTTAAATCGTGCTTTTGCAAACTCTCTGGAGTCTGCTTGCGTACAATTCGTCTGAAAGGAAAAAAAGAAAAAAAAAACAAGGTTAGCTTATTTATTAGCAATAAAGCAAGCTGTCTGTGTTTAGTATATACTTTATTCTTAGCTTTTTTTCTTTTTTCCCCATGCTGAGGATCAAATCTAGGGCCTTGCACATACTAGGAAAGCACTCTACCACTGAGCTATACCTCTACTCCTGATTCTGCACATACTTAGGTAACTTAATGCGAATCCTGTGCTTTTCACTTAAAAGTTATATCATGGGGCTGAGGATTTAACTCAGCAGCAATGTGCCTGCCTTGCAGGCACAAGGTCATGATTTTGATTCCCCTTACAAAAAAAATGTTATACTGTATTTTCCCCCTTGAATAGAGGAAGAGAAAGAAAACGTGGTTTCGAGCAATAGAAAAAATATGTATAGTGGCATAAAGAATATCTACATATAACAAACCAAATAGAAAAACTGCAATTTAACAGGATGACTACTAGCTCATACATTGCCCTTGTGCAAATTAGAAAAACAATCCCCTTTATGGGGACAGTCCTGTGGGCAAAAGACTTGGGCAGCAGCATGTGGGCTACCTTCCCTCTTGTTGGTTCATCAACCTTGAATAGTGGGCAGCTCATACAGTCACACAAATTGGCCTTGAGACTTAACTAAAGTGCTTTATTTGTGGGGATTATGGCATTCTCATAGATATCAGCACTGATAGAGTGTACCTTGCAATTGCTTAAAGCTCATTCACTTCAATAAACATTAATTGAGCAAATGCTAAAATATGAAACAATGCTTGGTTTAATCATAATGGAGAAAAGGAGGCATATAGTTAAGTAAGTAATGTCCGTGACTTCAGCCCTCAAAGAACACAACTGACAAATTCCTCAGAATATAAAAGAAAAAGAGTCATAGGTGTCCCTTTGTAAAAGTTTGTTTTAAAGAACTATAATATATCATGCCATTTAGTGCTTTCTGAAAATGTTTTATTTTAGTTTATTGGTACATTTTAGGTATACAGTACAGTCACATTCATCATTGGGATCTTGTACTTTTACATGACAGGTCTTGGTTCTCATTTTTTCCCCTTATCCCTGCCCTCCCTTTACCCCCTCCTCTTCTTCCCATTTACAAACACTTTATTTCCATTTTTTTCATTTAAATGGATGCATATTGAGGATATACTCCTAAGTGAAATAAATAAGCCACACACGTGTAAATACCAAATAGTTTCTCTGCTGTGAAAAACTATAATACTACATAAGATCCCAAAGAAAATGTTTTAATTTAAGGTCATTAACCACTCTTTTCTAATCCTAGGTTTTAGGGAAGAGACCATGTATTGAGCACCTATTATAGCTAAGCCTGCTGAAATTAACACAGTTTATCTCAGTCCTCGTACCAAACCAGCAAGACGAGTATTATTACCCCCGTGTTACAGGAGGGTTAATAACATGAAGCAGAATATGTTGGTGAAAACAATTCTGTTTTGAGAGGGCTACTTTTGGGTTGCTATTTCATCTCTTAGTAGTTTGGTGAACTTGGGAAAATCATTTAAATCTTTGACACTCGGCTTCTTTAGCTGAAAAATTGATATAATAATACCTCATTAAACATTTATTTTAGTAATCAATTGCCGTGATGTATCAAAAAAGTCAGATATAAGGCAAGGGTCCCAAAAATGGTAACTTTGACATTGTTGATTAACAAGTTCACATGGGGAATACATGACAGACTCAAGCCTGGAAGCCTGGATTCTCATCTCAGTTCAGCTGTCACCTAGTTAAGATACTGTGAGCAATCACCTCACTGGTGTAAGCAGCAGAATCTCTTCAAATGGAGAATTGGGTGAATGAATGCCTGCTCCAAGAGAAGATGTAGATCTATTAGTGTTGGGATCACTAAACTATGGAGGGGAAGAAATTCCTTCCCTTCTCTAGGATTTTCGGAAGCTGGATTATGACTAACTTCCACTTAAAGATACTCATACTGGTTTCTCTGTGCTTAGAGAGAGTTTATCATGGGTCAGAGTCAAGAGGAAGGTTAAGAATGTATGCAGAGGTCGCCCAAGACTGCTACTCTACGCGCTTCCCCTTTTCACACTCAACTCTTGGCCCCTACATGCCTGCTTTGGCTTGAAGCAGGATGTTTGAGGCTTGAGCATCTAAATTCCCCAACACTACTTTCTTGGAAACCTATAACCACCAGTGAACTTCCCTGGGCCTACTTTTGTGTGCAGGTGGTGTGAAACAGTAGAAAAAGGAAACCTTGTATTAAAGAGGATTCCTGCCAAACACCCACCCACACATTTTGTGCCGCTGTGTTAGCATTTGTCACAGGCTGCTTTAGATCACCTGTGCTCAAGGCCACTTCCAGCTGGAGACGGCTTAGCCTACATATTTTACAATTTTCATTTTCAGGTTCTTAGTCTAAAATTAATATCTCCAGGAAGTGGGGATGAAGAGAGCATTGAGATATTTTGGGATTGAAAGAAACATTTCATATCAACTTCTTATCACAAACCCTGACAGAACAAGTGCTCAATAGAAGTTAGCTATTACCTTTATTGTATTAGAATTTTTGAAGACAATCCCCAGGGAAGTAGTTTTCCTGATAGTATTCCCTGAGATAGTGGCTGAAATAATCCTCAATTTCAGTACGCTAGTGAATCACTCCCCTAGTGTGAGAGTTTGGCTAATTCACTAGTGATTAAGCCAGAAGAAACAACATTATAGACATACAAGATCCTACCAGCGCTCTCAGTATGTTCTCTACAGTTGCAAAGATAGACTTTGGTACATTTTTCAAGCTTGTTATAAATAACTGAACTATGAATAGCAATTAGCTGGGTGCAAGAAACCAAAAGTGTTGCTGACTGGTTTCTATTGAAATGACTTCTGCTGTCCTTTCACATTCCTTGGGCAGACAGGCTAACCACACAAAAGCAAGGAAGTCACTGTGCTTCTGATAGAGCACCCTGCCTAGAAATTAAAAGACACAAAGCCCTTGGCTTCCAAATTAAAAACTCACTCAGCTCCGTGGATGGCAAGACCGATGAAGAAGATCACGAAGAGATGGTGTGTGTACCAAAACACTTCAAAGTAAGACCTCCGGATGGTTTTTGTAGAGGAGGTGATAATTAATATTAGGCAAAGTGTGATAACAATACCAGTGATTCCTGCTAACCGAGTTACAGCCACGTACAGGCCCCCTTCAGGGTTCTGTAAAATAAAAACACACATACACACAAATACACATTACTGTATGTTGCCAAATGAAGACTGCATATTTACAGTGTCCATTGCACAGAGCAAAGGCATTTTCATCACTCATTTGGGTAGTCCTAATCATCCCTCGCAGAGAGATAGAGATACAGAGTAGATATTTCTAAATTTTAAAATGTTTTACCTGATTGAGGAGTCATAGAAAATAGGAATTATTACAATTAAACCCTTCTAAAGGAGGATCAAACAGAGGAAATAATCAACTAAAAGATGTCTTGATAATGTCTAAAGCTCTTTCTTCCTTTGATTTGGAAAAGACCACCGTGCTTAGTTTCCAAATATGTCCTGGGAATGCCAAATGTCTTAGGATGGGTTTCCCAAGAACTTTCCATGAGATAAAGATTTATGGGCAAGTAATTTAAAAAGAATGTGCTCTGAGAGAAACTGGCAAGGGAATGAAGAATAGAATAGGAAAAAGGTCACAGCCAAGCAAATGGATGATCTCAGGCAAAATCTCACAGGGGATAGCTTCAGCTTGATTCTGCAGGGGAGTAGAGTTTATTCTGACTTGAGGTGAAGATGCTGGGCTTTCATGGCCTATACTCATCAGTTGCCTAGGAGAGATAAACCATCCAGCCTCTTTCAGATCTCAGCCTGTGTGCAAAGGGATGCTAATTAACCCCTGTAAAAATAATCAAGAATATTATAGAAAAAGAATTCATTGTTTGATGTTATTTAATTCTGTCCCTAGGTAGATCAGGCAAATTTTTGTCATGTCAATTCAAGAATAATAATTTTGGCAAAATTAAGAGTCTTCTGTTATGATCTTTTCTCAATAAAAGGAAATGTGTTTGTACGCTAGGGTGATTTAACTGAGCCATTGAGCATAAATAATCAAGAATATTATAGAAAAAGAATTCATTGTTTGATGTTATTTAATTCTGTCCCTAGGTAGATCAGGCAAATTTTTGTCATGTCAATTCAAGAATAATAATTTTGGCAAAATTAAGAGTCTTCTGTTATGATCTTTTCTCAATAAAAGGAAATGTGTTTGTACGCTAGGGTGATTTAACTGAGCCATTGAGCATATGAAAATGGCTTGGAGTTTCTTCAGGAAGCTTTAACAATTACTGGGATGGAAAAAATCCTTGCCTTTGGATACTCTCATGGCTGCTCCTTAGGATTTGCTGTTATTCCCAGTGCACCAAGAAATGAGCATCAGCAGACACTGGTCACTCCACAGTTGTTGCAAGTAAGAAAGAACAAAAGTATCACCAACAACTGTCAGATGGTAGCTGGCCTAACACTAACACTGGGCAGAGTGTTCCCTAATTCACACAGGTAATTTCATAGAACACACACATCAGATGAAGTTACTTTGTGACTGTGATGAGTGAAATAAAAAGAAAACTGTTCTGAAATCATATCTGAGCCCAGACAAAAATGTGTGATTACTATTCCTTTACAGATTTAGCCCCAGTTTATTGTTTTTGCCACTTAGAAAAAAATAAGACAGTAATCCCAGAACTATTTCTAGTCTTTTAACAGTTTAAAGAATGGCTGATTTAGGAAATGAAGGGCTTACCTTGATTCTTTCTCGAGCAAAATTGAGATAAGTTTCACCCTCTTTGTCTCCAATATCAGAGAGTGCTATTGAATAAGGGTCAGAATTGTTGACTCGAGCATCCACACACCACTCCACATTGAATAGATGTGCGATAGTATGAATTGCTAAAAAGAGCAGAGAAGAGAAAGAAAGAAGGTGAAAAGTAATCAAATATTTATTATAATCTGGATTCTGGCTACAGCGGGCACAGGGAGACATAAGGATGGCTAAGGGTGCTTATAAATAAGACCTGGATCAGACAGGCAGGATGATTCTATATCACGTCCTTCCTGTTTGTGTTGTTGTGAAAAAAAAATCACTTATCCTTGCTGGTCTTGGTTTTCTCATTTGTAAAATGAAGATGTTTAGTTATATACTCCTAAAGATCCAACCAAGTTCTATGAGTCTACAAAATAACCCCAGTCTCTGAGAGTATTAGATATGTTCTCATTACTTCTCTCTCTCTCTCGCTCCCTGAAATACTTGTGCTCAAGAAAAGTCTTCCTTAATGTATGCCTAAAGGTTGGCCCATTCACTCGACTCTGAAATTACTTCCAGAGATGATTAATGTGACTGAATTGACACAAACTAGTGATCATCTCTTAAAAAAAAACAAATAACATTCTTTATTTCACGGTCATTTGCACAGGGTTACTGGGTGCAGGCACTGTTAATATTTTTCAATTACTTAGTACTTATACCCAAAGCTGTAGGTACAAATAAAATCAGATCATCTTACAGTTGAAGAAACTAAAGTAAAGATTACATTAAAACCTTGTCCCCGGTCATCAAGCTAGGAAATACCAGAGTTAGGAATCAAATAGAGTTTGGCATATAAGTCTGTGTTCTTAGCCAGTATACTATAATACTTACCAACAGGATTCTATCATACATTTCTATGTAATTATTTCATTTGCCACAACTCAAAAAACTTGCATGATGCGGTAGGAAAAGAGGAACCCAGGTGAGCACTAAACCTATTTTACTCAAGTTAGGGCTGAATTCTTTAAGGCAGATTAAAGCTTGCTGTGTTCATTACCGTGCAGGCCTGTTGCCTGGCACATAAATTATCTATTAAATGAGTCAGTGAAGATTGACTAAGTATCCTAGACACATTACTTCTTGCACTGACATTACCACCCTAATAGTTATAACAACATATAATATTATGCATACATATACCTATTATATGTACACACATGATAATAAAATCATAATACTGAAGATAGTTATCTGATAAAGGCTTTCTTAATAGATCTCCAATTTATGGGCTGATGTTCCTGCAGGTTTACTGCAAAAAAAATGTACAAGACTACATGTGCAGACAAGCAATTTTGCGGAATGAGAAGTTATCATAGGTGGACTAACAAATATTTTTCATATTAGAAAAGATGGGAAAGAGTGAAGACACTAGGATTGACATTTCTCATCTCATATTGCTATTTTTATGGGGGAGATCCTAGGATGATAAAAATTTTAAGAAGCAAAGGAATAAATCCTAGTATTGGGATAATTGAAATACTTTTGAACAGAAACAGAACTCATTAAAAAAAAACAGCATATATGACCACAACAAAATGTACCTGTAAAGGTTGATATGTTACATATAGATATCAAATAGAGGGCAGTCTCTGGTTCCAATTTTTTTTCACAATTTCAATGGCCTTATGAAGCTTACCAGTGTGAAGTGCTATCATCCATGCCACCATTTTATGAAAAGTGAGGTTTCTATCCAGTTGTCTTCGAATTCTTGTTGAGCAGCACTTTGGGTTAAGGGAAAAGAATGGCATAGGAATTGTTAATAAGAAGGCTTTCTATGTGTCAGATATTTTACATATCATCTCATTTAATTTTCATGACCACCCCACAAATGTTATCCTTTTATGCATCTGATAGATGAGGAAACAGCCTGGAGAAACATAGTCATCTTTCCCAGGTCAAATAGCTAGTGAATGACATAGCCAGTTCAATTAGTGTGTTTCCTGGTCTCATACTAGTAACATGCAATTTCACCTGGATCCTCTTGCTTATTTGTGTGAAAATGTGAATTTGGACAGAAAAGATAGCTAACTATACAGTTTCTTTTTTGTACCAGGGATTGAACTCGGGTCCTTGCGCTTGCAAGGCAAGCCACCGAACCGCTGAGCTAAATCCCCGGCCCTAACTATATAGTTTCTAATGTGAGTTAATTCATTCAATAAATAGGGAATTTAGAAATTAATAGAGTAAGCTTGCTCTCACATTCCTGAGTCTAGTGGGGGAAACAGACCAACTAAACAGTTCAAGAACAAGTGAACAGTTTTCCAACAACAGTAATCTAGAACATACACACTCTGGGAGGTACAAGAAGAATCCACTTGCCCATGTTTGTACAAAACATCACAAAGGAGATCAATGACCAAATAATAATACAGTACTAGCAAAAATAACATTCACTAAGAGCTTGTGCAAGAAGCAGATTTAAATGTTTTATATGCACTGGCTCATTTAATTCTTACACCAATCCTGTTATGGAGGTACTATTATTATCCCTACATAACAGGTAAGGAAACAGGCATAGAGCGATTACCTTGCCCTGGGTCACACAACCAACAAGTAGCAGAGATGGGATTTAAACCCAGGCCATCTGATAAGAGAGTTTATATCAATATTCCAATATTTTATAACTTATATATTTAACTTGACATTAAAAGTAGTAATTTTGTCCATATTTTAGTGTTTTTCCCACTCACACATTTCAGAAGATGTGGGTTTGAAACTGGATTCAAGTTAATGCTCAAAGGGAAAAAAAGAACTATTAGTGGTTGGTTGAATTAGAACTTTGCTCTCCTAGAAAGTAGCCAATTGCTGGCTCTGGTTGCTTTGCTTCAGTTTTTTTGTTTGTTTGTTTATTTTTTTGAGACAGATTCTCCCTTTGTACTCCAGGCTGGCCTTGAGCTCATTGTGTAGACCAGGCTGGTCTAGAACTTGCAGGGATCCTCCTGCCTCAGGCTCCTGAGTGCTGGGATTACAGGTCTGTGCCATTATCTCCAGCTTTTGCTTCAGAGTTTAAATGTCCTACCACAGAGCCTCAGAAGACTTTAAGAAGAGGACAGTTAAGTATAAAAAAATCTTTGATATTTTAAATATCTGGTTCTAAATGTTATATTCAATTGAAATAAGAGGACAGTGAGTATTTGGCTAATTTATTTTTAATAATATACTTTATTTTATACAAAAATAGAATTGTATAGAAAATTGTTCTTATTTCACTATTCCCCAGTTAATAACACCTAGTGTGGGCTGGCTGTTTAAACCATGAGAGCTGATTCTTGGAATTGCAGAAAAACTAGTAAGGAAGACGCTGAGGATTCCAAAAGAGGAGAAAAAGAATTAGACACTATTATGTGTCCTGTGACACAGGTAGTTTATCCATAATCGTTATCTCATGTAATGCAATGAAATAACTATATTGTCTTTATTGTATAGATATAGAATTTAAACTAAAATCTCACATTGGCTGGGATCCAAATCTATTTGTCTATAATCAAGATTCATGCCCTTTTCTGTCCAGCCAAATGCAAGGAAGTAGTCACTATTATTTTAAGTGATGAAAACTCTAAAGTAAGCATTTAAGTTTAAGTAATCTATCTGAAAGGTGATCACAGATAGAGGGTATGAAAAGTAAGGCCTGGAATGAAACCAATAAAAGGTATATTATCACGCTATCTATCACTAATCATATAACAATGGACTCAACCCCACCAGGGAATATTGAGAGATGAAAGAATTTGTCCCAAAGGGTTTTTGTGGATTTGGTTTGTTTGTTGTTCTTTGGTCCTGATTCAAGCAGTTAAGAAGTTTAGGTGTGCATTTAACAAATCCATCCATCATTGGCTGAGGGCTGCTCCTAGGCATGGACTTGCTGGCATTTTAGGTCCACACCAGGAGAGTGCTAAAGGAAAATCCCCAGGCACAGAATGTTGTGTGTGCAGTAGATAGCTGCCCCATGTATTGGAACTGCCAGGAATTCGGGAATATGGCAGGGGAGTTGAGTGGTGATTCAAGCCCTCAGAAGAAGGATTTCCTGTTTGAAATAACTTTATGTCTGGTCATCATTTTTTAATGTTATCTTTTGTGCTTATTTCAAGTGTCAAAAGTTGTTTTAGCACTTTGTATTCCTTACAATTTTAAAGAAATATCTTTTTTTCCTGTTTCCAAATTGTCACAGTTTCTAAGAATCCTTGTGATAGGCAGATTCTAGGATAACCTACAATGATGCTATATAAAATCTTCTCCCCCTGGGTTTGGATGGGACCTGTGAGCTGATGAGAAATCACTTTTGTGATTCTGTTCCATTATATGGCAAAAGGAATTTTGCAGAGGTAATTACAGTTCCAAGTTCTGAGTGGGCCTGATGCAGTCTCATAAGCTCATTAAATTTAGGCCCAGAAGTCCGAGGTAGAAAGACTCACAGATTTCAAAACCAAAAAAAAAAAAAAAAAAAATGTGTTGTTTTCTGGCTTGAGGATGTAGGGAGACAGGTGACAGAAAATGGAGGGACCTCTAGGATCTGAGAATGGTTCCTAGATAATGGCCAACAAGGAAACAAAGAAGACGCTTGGAAGACGATTTTTACCCAGAGTTTCCAGATAAGATCTCATCTAGAAAACACTTGATTTCAGTCTCGGGATATCCTGAACAGAGAAGCCAGCCACAGGGTGCTGGGCTTCTGACCTATAGAACTGTAAATTCATAAATGAAGGTGGTTTTAAGCCACTGAATTTGTGGTAATTTGTTTATAACTAATATAGTCCTTACTGGAATGCTGAAACCAGATTGGATTTCTAAGATTCAAAGGGCGTCAGTAAGGTTAGAAAGCAGTACTACTGAATTACATGCAAGTGCAGGTTTTGCCTTCAGATATACCTATGTCGGGTTCCCAGCCCTGTGATTCAGCGGTGTGCCATTGACCAACGTACTCAGACTTCAGTATCCTCATCTGTATTATTATTGTAGGTCTTCCCTCATAGTCCTGGTATTTAGATTCATTGAGCAGTGTTTAATAAGTATTTGATGCTATTTTGTATTATTTTAAACTTTCTAGTTAGTATGGCTCAGCTCCCCATTTAGAGGACAAAGATCCTACATGAAGAATGTTATGTTACGTACTTTTAAAAAAATCCTTTAATAATTATTTGTTTACCTAAATGAATTGAATTCTAGCTGCTCCAGAAGAGAAGACGATGACTTTAATCCCACAGAAGTGTATTTACTCCCATTTTCATATTTGCCACACTCATTTTATGCTTCCTGAAAAATCCTTTTGAGGCTTGGGAGGAAAATTCACTGGCTGTCGTATAGTATAATACATTTGGAGTAAATGAACATGGCTTTGTTGTAGTTCCTACATGATTTTCATAGTCTTACCTTTTTTGTTTTTATTTTCATATTTAAAATTTCATTTTAGTTTATCATGTATTAGTACATGAGTGAAGTACATGATGCTTACATTCTTTGTGTGGAGTTGGTACATATACATAACACATCTTAATTCCTTTTCCATTTCCCATCCCCTTTCCTTCCCTCTTCCCCCCTTCAGTGATTTTCCTTTGAGTAGATGTTTGCAGTATATGATGTTTACATTTCTTCAGTGGAGTCGGAACATGTACGTAATACACCTCAATTCTTACTTTCATCTTCCCCCTTTCCTTTCTCCCTCCAACTCTTGATCTCTTTCCCCTATCTTTATCAGTATCATTAACATGCATTATAAAAATATAAGACAATAGTTGCTGATGTCCTTTATCAACTTTTGGAACAAACCCTCAGAGAAAATCAGCTGCATGCCAAAACAGAGGAGAGATATGATTGAGAAATACCATTTCCATTCAGCAATACTCTGTTTTATCTTAATAGGTAATTTTTGAAAAGCTAATCTAAAACACATTTAACTACATAGTAGGTACTATCGGGCCAGTGGAATGAGTCCCACCAGAGCATCAATCCTTACTTGTTCCTAGATAACGTCTTTGCTGTCAAGAACAGTGGACAAATCCAAAGAAAAGCCACAAGTCATGCTGAAATTAGGCTTTTAAGAAAAAGATCTTCTCACCGTTTTCTAAAAAGGGGGCAAGATGACCATTTGGTAGGTGGGAAGGAAGAGCCTCACTGTCTTTTATGGCCAGGACCTTTCTGTTCCTCTTTACCATGCAGATATCAATTCTATGCTTTGGGTCACTTCTGAATTATTGCCAGCCACTTACCAATTACCTAAGCTGCCACTGTGTCCCATAGCTTCCTCACTGACTGAACTACCCTATGTTTTCTACCATTGACTTCTAAAGAGAGATTTTTCTGTTATTGTCACCAAGAGCCTTGCCCAACTTCAACAAACTATCATTCCAATGCAAGGGATGCTGTTGAGACACTGTGGCAAATTTCTATGCTCTATTGAAACCATAAATTCCAAAAAAATGAGAAGTTGAAATAAAAAGAATGGGTTATAACATGAGTTTCTGGAGCTCTATTATATATACACTTGGTCTTGCCATACATACCATTAATATATATCTGAAGTAGGTATTTATATACAAGTCGGAGGAAATCGCAAAAGCTTCTACAGAACTCAGGTAAAGAAACCAATCATGATGCTCACACAACGTGACAGTATAATATGCAATAAATATAAAAAACACTATTTTACAGCATTGCTTATAATTTTGAAGTCATATGTTTATTCTTATCTCCTCCAGAAGATTCTAAGCTCCTTAAGCTTGTGACCCATCCATTCTTATTCTTTACTTATCACATATTCTCAGTGCTTAGCATATGGCTGACACACAAATATGTATTAACTAATTGACAGACTTAATCAATCAGCATACTTTTACTAAAAGTATATTCTCTCTCTCTCTTTTCTTTTTTTTTTTTGGCAATGCAGGAGATTGAACTCAAAGCTTTGTGCATGCTGGGCCAGTGCTCTACCCTTGAGCTAGAGTGGCATATTTGTTCTTATATCTGCAGTATTTGATCTATTTTTAAGCTTAAAAATCTATTAGACAGAAAGTCCAAGAGACTCACTCTATGAGGCCAAATGGTGACAGAGAGCGCCATAATGAGATCTTTTGACTCCCATAAGTTAACAAATAAGAGCTCTTCCTTTCACCTTGTTGTTTCTTTCTGATCTTAAAACTAGGACCATCATCAAGTTCAAAATTAGTTTCTACATGTAAAGGTGGAGTTATTAAGGGTTTCTCGGGGATTTTTATATACCGAGCTCTATCCTCGGCTGAGAGCCTTTATCCAACCTTATGGAGGTGGACTTGGGGAGGGCCAACACTGCGGCTTTCTGTAGGTAAGCAAAAGGATTGCAAAGAAAGTCTGAATGATTCAGATCTCTAGAAATTGAACAGAAATTCTGTGGCTGTTTGTTTGGCACAGTGTTTCACCACCAAGCCTTGAATTTAAAATAAGCTTGTCATTTCTGGCCTAGGTTATTCAGCATGCTCAAACACTTTATGTGTATTATGGCTTTTAAAGACTGAAATATAGCAGTAGGACAGTTTTAAGAAATTTAGATGGCACATAGAAAAGTGAATAGGCTCTAGGAGCCCAGCGATTTGGTTTGGAATCCCCAAACTCTCTTTTAATTTTTTTCTCAACTCATTGATTTGATGTGCAGATTTCATGAGTTGAGTTCTAGGAAAGCTGTTATGCTTTCCAACATTCATCACAGCACATTTACTCAGTTTAATCCCAGTGAAATGCTCCATGTTCAAAGTTTCCTTTTCAGGTTGGGAATCCCAGAAAGAAGGACATGCTCTGACTGTAAAATAATCTACAATACATGTATGTATATATATAAGTATGTATGCATGTATATATGTATGTGTGTGTATTCTTTTACATAAAGATCTATCTGATTACAGACAGCCTGATTTTGCTATTGGGTTTTGAGATCCTCTCAAAGCTAGAAAATCCTCAGAACTACCATTACAAAATGTGCTGCTCATGGGACATGAGAGATCAATGTCAGTGAAAGCTAGAGCTGTGGGGTAACAAGGATTTCTTAACTGATACAATCATTTCCTGTTTCTCAGACTTTACTTCTTCTAAATAGAAAATTTTGAATGGAGGAAGGGAGAATAAAGAATTGTGTCTCCATAAAAACAAAAAGCTATCCCGATGGTGTCATTTATCAAATGTTCTTTGGGCACCTACACTATATCAAATAGTATAAAGTAAGTGGCTCATCAATCAAACCTTCAGTCCAGTGGAGTTTCATCTCCGTGGCTTCTTAGGTGATGGAGTTCATTTGGTAATCCTTGTAATCGATGTCTAATACTTAGTGCGGCTGTTAGTTTTTGGATTTGTTTGGCTGTCAGTTTGCAAGGCAAATTGAGCAACAGAGTTCATGACTCAAAGGAACTTCCTCACAGTCTCTTCTAGAGGAAAAAGTCATGAAATTTTTCATTTGCTCTTTTCTACTGAACTAAAGATGCTAGCTGTTTCTGTCATGTATTTATTTATTTATTTGAAGTGCTGAGGAGTCAGTCTAGGTCCTTGAGCATGCTATGCAAGAGCTCTATCACTGAGCTACATCCCCTGTCCCAACTCTTCAAAATTAGACTGTCGAGAGTTCAATTCTGGCAGCATGTTTAAGATGAAATGGCATTTTGTTAATGGATAGTATAAAAGAAAAGCTAATGGTAGCCGACTAGTCCTATATTAGTAAAATGAAGTATTGCATGTTCTTTAAAACAAAATCCTTTGGACCAATGTGAATTTTAGTGTAAGTAGGAAAAACAAGGCAGAGTTCTAAGCAAGTTATACTTGTCATTGACAGTTTAGTTCACGTTCTTCTCTGACAAATATTCAGTGATTGACAAATGAAGTAGTAAATCCTTAGCTCTGCATTTAAGGTTCTAGTTTACCAGCATTCCTAATCCCAGCATTCCTCTCTAGCCTTATTTCAGAAAACTGCCCTATAAAATCCCTATGTTCTCATAAAAATAATGTTTCCTGTTTTTTATGAATGATTTGTATTTAATATATATTTTAAAAGCTTGTTAGCATGAAACACTTACATTTTACTAGAATGATAAAACAGATGCTGCTAGTCACTAATGGGCCAGGAGAATAGGTCGTACCAGGACAACAACACCTAACTTATCCCAGTTACCCTATTTGGAATGGTCAAGAATGGCACACAAAGCTAAAGAGAAATGACAAGTCTTGCTGATAGTAGATTGTGAGATTTCTCACCATTTCCTGTGCTTTTGCCCAGGCTGTTTTCTCCATGGATAATGACTTTCTCTTATTTATGCTCCATGACGCTTATTTATGCCCAGCTCCAATGCCACCTTCTCTTGGAAGCCTCTCTGAATACTTTGCCCCACATAATATAATTTCTTTCTCCTACCTATATTGTTTGATTCCCTGCCTATATTCTTTATTTGTGAAATTTTAAGTGACCCATTGTATTTTGCTTTGTGAAATATTTGAGTACGCATGAAGATTTTAAGTTCCTTGATACTTCTTTGTATTATATTAGTAAGAAATTTGTGTTCTATTTTATAGGTTACAGTTATTTTTCCTACTCAATATTTTTGTCTTCTCTTATAGTACTTTTAGAGATTCACTGAAGTTTTGCAGTGAGGATGAATCCTGGACATTTAAAAAGTTCTGCACTCTCCAATTTCATGAAGCCAACCATTTTTAGTCATGTTTCATTATCGTGTGACTCTTTACCCATTGATTCTAACTGTTTGGATATTATACCTAAAAGATATTTTCTCTGACATAAATTTTTTGAATTTACTGAAAGTTGACTTTCCAAATATCACATGTCAGCTTCATAAAGACTTGTTTATATACACACATGTTACATATATGTGTGTATCCACACACACATGCTTACTTATGTCACTGCTATTGCTGGGATATAGGTTAGCTGGTTGCTTTTTATAATTTCTTTTCTAGGTTAAATGGTTGCCCCAGGGAGCTCCATCCACAAATAGTATAAAAAAAAAATCCACAAAAGAGGGCGTGGATTGGCTCATGAATATTCTGCACAAGCTACAGTCTCCAGGAATCTTTGGTTTGCTTTTCCTAAGAAAGGGCACTTTGCATGATGGCTCTGAAAATTTGATGAACTCTGAAATGTTTGCGCTTACCGCACTGGAACCCCTGAGGAAGGAGAGCAGATTTCGACACACTGGCAACAGGATCAGCATGCAGTTGAAATTTAGGCAGGCTGCAGGGGCCCTGGCCAAAGCCAGAGCTTTCTAGAAGAAGGATAGAGAGCAGAATGATTACTGTGTGCATAGAATAACTCGACCCCTACTTCCCCAGAGTTCTCAACATGAGACCACACACCACAAACTCCAAGAAATCTGTAAAGGATACTTTCAGAACTGAGAGTTTTCTTCTAGGGCCTGCTCAGACTCTTCATTTTAATCTGGAACTTGTCATTTACCCCAATTTAATATTTTATTCTGAAAAGTTGCAAATATAAAGAGAAGCAGAAATAAATCTACTTTGAATACATGTTTATCTATCTATCATATTGCACCTTTTATATTCTACTATACTTGTAGAAAATCTAGAAAATCTCACTTGTCCCACACATGTCACCCCTGGATAGATTGCCTCAAACTGACCTTACATTCCACAGTCAGTATTAGATTTTTTTTTCCTTTAAGTTAAACAGTGACACATGGCTCTGGGAGGAAAGGGATGCCTGTGGGACTCTCTGCCATATTTTTGTTTGTCACACTGGCAGGCCTTAAACGATTCTTGCTCAGGAAGTTGCAATGAACACATTAAGACTGACAGATACTGTTTGGATTGGTCAGCGTATTTGTTTAACATATTAAAAAGAATAAGAATGAGAACATCTGACTAGAAATGTGAGCCAGCCAACATTGCTTGAAATAAAAGTCATACTTACCCCAAGAAGTTTTCTAGTGTAAAAGTACATTGGTCCATCATCATAAACTTTGTAATAATGGATAAAGAGGAAGACATTCATCCCCAGCCACATCAGCTGCATAAATAGAAAAAGTTGACTGAAGTTTTCCCATCTCAATAAACAGGTTCCACATAAGACTGAAGTTTGACAAAGATCACAACTTAGGGCCAGCTCTTTCCTGCAACAATATCACTATACACTTTTCTGTAATTAAATTTTCTACCTTGCATTGCTTATCATGATTGTCTTATTACTTAGCCAGTATGCCAAATTATTATCATTCTAACTCCTCTCCTTTGTTTTTCATCATCTTTTCTTCTCTTAGCTAGGTAGACGATAGCAATAAAATGAGAAGGGGGTAAACTTGTCATGGGGTCTGCCTACCGGGAGGACATTGTGCTCTGCTATCACCTCCCTGCACGGCACAGCATCCCACACCAGCTAATGGGTGTCTCATTCTACTTGACAAATTTGATTTGCATTTTGAAGGATGTAATACTGAGCATGAGCAAGAGTTTGAGAGGCATGGGACTAAAAGACAAAGAAAGAGTTTTGTAGATTGTGACCTCTCATTTTATTCCAAACACTGACTTTATCAAGTGATGATACTGCCCAGGCTTCTACCTTCAGTGCAGTTGTGATCTTTTCTTAACTATTAAATTACTAGTCATAGTTAATACCAGCTAGTAAATGTCCATAAATGTTTGAGAACAATCTCAACTTATAAAGAAGGTGCTAAAGCAACCTTTGCCTTTCCTGACCTTGTCAGGGTTTTTTCCAACTCTTACTTTCTAAGCTTGGTCTTCACTTTCAAGTATATGTTTTTCTCATTTAAAATAAGGTAATTTTCTGGTTAAAATTGTGTTGAGACCTAAAAGTATAATTTCAATTGCTTCCTATAGGAATAATCTGCTCTTCAAATGGTGATAAAAATCAACTGTACAGTTTCAAATCAGTAGAGTTCTGAATTGCATGTTAATTTTGGCATAAAGTATATTTCCAATAATAAAATGTTTGTTTTTATTTTATTTGTGCCACTAATTTCTTTCTCTCAGTAAAACTCAAAGGCCCTCATATATTTCGTGATAAATTCTTATAGAAATTCTATTCATAAGTGTGCTTTTTAACATCATGTTTCCACTGGCTATTTAGAAAAGCCATTTAGAAATCACTTTTCTTTCTATCCAATCTGTCCACACTTGCTTTTCTGAGACTGCCATCTTAAGAGCATGGCTATATTATTTATGTTAAAAATCATAGAAATCAACATCTATTGGAAAAGTACCCATATCTTTACTAGCAAATATTGCTTCACAAAATAGATTACACTGACATATATTTATACATTATATTATATATTACATATGTATGAACCTAGATAACTGATCTAAATTCTCTTGAATTTCATAAACCTCATAAGGAACTAAAGTTTAAACCTCAGAGAAGGTACTTGTTTTCAAAAAGAAATTTGAGAATTTTATTTTTAGTGTCATTATTTACATAAAGGCCAGTTTTGCACGCATGAGCCCTTCATGAGCCAGTCCTATATTTGTTATTTGGAAAATTGTATTAAAACTGGCCATTTTAAAAGTAGCTTAAACACACACAAAGTAGGGACTTTTTCTGCTGAGTAATTAATAAACAATTCAGAATTAAAGAGTGTTGCCATAAAATATATTTTATTCTCTCTGCAAAATGCTGGCTAAGTACTCCTACAAACTTAAAAATAAATTAGGAGAAATGAGTACTCAGATGCCATCTTTCCATTAAGGAATTTGGAAGAGGGAACTCAATCAAATATGTTTGTTCACTAAGTAAATAAGTTTCTGAAATAAACAAACAAAAAACCATTTTGCTCTATTTTAGCTTCTAGGAGAACCCAAGCATGTCATAGAATTCATACTTAATCTCTTGTTTGTACTTACAATGACAAAGATGGAGAGCCCCTCATTCACAGCCCAATTCCCCATGGTGGCAGAGCTTCAGCGTGCTGTGTCTGCCCTTCTTCTGCATCAAGCTTCTTCCTCCCATGAGGAAATGAAAACAGCAGCTTTGGGGCAATAAGTTTCCTTTTCTATTATCAGGAATTGGCTAATCATTGGTCAACTGAGAAGCCTCTTTCCACAACAAGTGTAAATCTTTAAACCACAAAAATTATACAAGAGAAATATTTATAATGATCCAATCACCATTAAACATATTGGAAAACATGTTTACATACTGTCGAATCAAATTCGACAACAGAGATGAATAGTGCTATTCATGAGATGCATTTTACACAGTGAACTATTTTACTAATTAGATATCCGACTGCAATTTTCACGTCACTCAACTAGCCATGTATTAGTGTTGGATAAAACGCATTTAACAGGTTTAATGTCATCTGACAGACTTTTATAGTGATACTTATTGCCTCATTGAAAACAATTACAATAGTTATGGTTGATATTTATAAGAGGCTTACTATGTGCCAATTTTATAAGCTAGATATGTGTATGTGCATATGTATTTGTGAGTTGAAGCAATCATAAAAGCATATGTGTGTATATACAGAGACATAATGCACACACATACACGTCAATTCATTTGATTCTCACAACTTAATCCCTTGAAAGTAAGTTCTTTTATTATGATTACATTTACAGATGAGGAAATTGAGACCAAGAGCAGTGAAGTTATTTTGGATGCAGTCACACAACCAGGGAATAATGGAATTGGTGAGACCCCCAAAATATGGCTTTTGATCATAATACCAAGAAAAACAAAGCCTGATTGTGTCAACCTCCACCCTAAATCACTGTACATAAAATTATAGGAAATGAAACTCTAACAAAAATACCAAAATCCTCAGATGACAATCATGTTATCAGGCACATATGACATCTTTTTCTTCTTGTTTTTTTTTTTTTTCTGCGGTACTGGTTATTGAACTTAGGACCTTGTGCTTTCAAGGCATGGTGCCACTGAGTTAAAGGCCTAGCCCAAATTATTATTTTTTCTTTTGTGGTACCAATAATTGAACTCAGGGCCTCATGCTTGCCAGGCTGGTGCTGTGCTGCTGAACTACATACCCAGCCCCTGACATGGCATCTTCTATGCTAAGTGTATAAACGTAGTCAAACCTACAGTCAAACCTAAAGTATGTCACACATAGGGCATACCAAAACTAGGTGCAGCATTGCTACCCCCTGGCTGCTACCCAGTCTTCAAGATATGAAAAAGACCTGAAGGAAAGAGTTTAAATCTATTACACGATCAAAGATAACTAACAAGGGTAGTTGTACAATAGCTATAGCTAATAGATTAAAAAATAAATTGGAGGGCTGGGGATTTAGCTCAGTGGTGCAAGGTCCTGAGTTCAATCCCAGGTACCAACAAACAAACAAACAAACAAATAAATAAATTGGAGTAGTAGATAGTAGCAAAGGAATAAAAGAGAAATAAAGTCTCTTGGTTGCTATCTACAAACTACTTGAGACAGCCTATGGAATTATGACAAGTAGTAAAGCAGTATGGTTTCTCGCTTTATAATATTCAAGAAGTACTCAACTCTGATCTACTCCATGCCAATTAGAGCACATTTTACTCATACAAAGGGAAATTGTCCAACTGGCTCCATTCCCGATAAATACCAATTCAAAGAAACATAGCTGAACAATCAAAACAAACATGTGGGAGTTATGTGCCTCCTTGCTCTGTAATCTATTCCTCAGGCTTTCCTTGCTTTGCTGTGTTCACTAGCCAGCCTCTCTCTCTGCCATGAGTTCCTGCTGACTAACACTCTTGTAGATCTAGATCTTGCCAGATGGCTCTGGTTGCTAAGCTGGAGTTACACCACCTCCTCCCAGTTCCTCTCCAACTCTGAGGGTGGTAACCACTTCCCGTGGTTCATCTTTCTGCACCCACTTTTGGGATTCTCCACTTTTCCATCATCCATGCAACCATTTCCTGACATGAAATTCCGTTTGTTGAAATATGGTAGTTTCTGTTTCTCTAACTGGACTTTGACTAAAATAAAACATAAAAATATGTACATATTTTCTCATGTAACTAAAGAATTGAGCCACATATGCCTAAAGAGCAGTAAAACATTTTAAAGACCTATTTTCTCTGCCATTCCCAAATTCCTTCACAAGGATGATTGCCGGTCGTCATGGTCTTTCAAATTCAATGAGAAGTCTTCTATTCCGTAATTTCCTCCCTTTTCATTTTCCTCCTTAATAGTTCATTTTCCTTGTCCTATTTAAGTCTTCAAGTCTTTTTCAGTTTTTCATCTATCTCTTGAAGTATTTGCTCTACTAGAGAGGCAATGAGAAGGGGTCCATGAATACTCATGTTAGGAAATAACATGTTATCATTCCTATAAAACTATTTGCTGCACCAGGGATGTAGTTCAGTGACACAGAGCCTGCTTGGGAAGGATGAGATCTTGAGTTTGATCCCTGGTATACACACACACACACACACACACACACACACAACAACAACAACAACAACTATTCGTTGAACATTTTCCTAATCCCTTTCCTACCTCTACAATTTCAGATGGAAATTTTTTCAGAAGGAACTTTTTAAATGAGTATTTTCCATGGGTAATTAACCATTCCTTTCTATTGCTTTTTTTCTTCTTTATGAAAGTAATCAGAGGGATGTGAGTAGGGGTTCCTTGAGAGCCTTAGGAACCTCAATCAGTTTCACAGCTAGAGGAAGTGAGATAAGTTGTAATAGAGTAAAATCTTTGTTATATGGGAAAGAAGTTCTCTTTTAAAAAATGTAACATGATATTCAAGCTTGTGCATCTGATTAACATTATGGTCTCAAGGTATATCTGTTTTTCTACAAATGATTCATTTATCTTTATTTTGGTTAGAGTAGTATTCCATGGTGTGTAAATACCACATATCATCTGTTGGTGGACATATGGAATGCTTTCAAGATGTAGCTATTATGAATTGTGTTGCTTTAAACATGTGTACACATATATCTCTGTAATATGAGATATATATTCAGGAAGATACACAGAAGCAGAAGAAATTGATCAAATGAAATTTCTAGCTATAGTTTTTGAGGATTCTCCATACTGATTTTGATAGTGGTTGAACTAATTTACATTCCTACCAATGGTGAAAGATAGCTCTTTTTCCCCACAACCTCACTGGCATAAATTAGACACATACATTTAAATATCACATTTTTTCCTTATATGAGAAATCCAGAGTAAAAAATAAAGAGTAAAATAAAAGATAAATAATATAAGTAGGGAGACAGATCATTCTTAATGGGGGAGGGGATCAAAAATAGAGGTATAGGTAAGGAGGTAATGGATAAGGGATTAAAAAAAGAATTGAGATGTGCTATTGATATAGGGGGAAGGGATGTAACTCCCAAACCTGCTAGATATCTGAAATGCAAGTTTGTGTTCTCTAAAATTGAAGACTGAATTCTAGGAACAATGAAGTTAAGAGTAGGAAAAATTTATTGAGGGAAAGAAAGCTTTTGTCTAAGAGAGACAGAAGGGGAACCGGAAAGTGGGTTGCCCACTCCACTTTTCATAGATGTTTTATACAGCAAAGCCATGTGTGAGGCGGGTACAAAGTGGGACAATGCTGTAAGACCCAATCAAAAATTACAAGGTGGGCATGAGGTGGGGCAAAACCATGACCAACCAATAAGATTACAAGTATAGTCACCCAGGTAACATTGATTAAATGGGGGTCAAATGGGGGGGTACAAGTCACATAGCAAGCATACAAGGATTTGCAGTAAGGGTGGGGGTTTGGGATGTTTCTTGGAAAGGCTGGGTTAAGACCTTGGTCCCCCACCCAGGTGATTGATACCTATTTAGATTATCAGTTACTGCTATTTATCCCCAGGGGAAGCACAAAAGTATAGTAATTTCTCTTTTTACAGCTCTGGCCTTCAGTGAATGTGTCTTGATTGTCCTCCACATTGGCTTTCTGTGTTGGCTCCTTGAGGGCAGCCCTGTCTAACTGCCTGCAAGATATCTAATTAACTTACCTATATGCAATATTATGTACATGTACCAACTTCACACAAAGAATGTAAATGTTATGCACTGCAAAAGTGTACAAAAAGAAAATACAGGGATCAAGGGATAGGTAGAGGTGAGGAAGGAAGGGAAAGGGGATGAAAAAAGGAATTACGATGTGTTATGGACATGTGCCACCTGCTCACAAAGAATGTAAGCATTATGTATTACATACATGTACTAATAAACGAAAACAAACAAAAAACAGTAAGGTGTTGAGAAAAAAGGAAAAAAGGCGCATTGTACACTGCTCTTTAAAGACAAAACAAGTTGATAAACGTGCAAAAAAATTGGTTGACTGGCATTGATTAGACAAGAAAAATGAAACTCTATGCATCACCTATTGACTTATCTTTTCTCAATCCGTTTGGTTTCTACTGCCTCTTACATGTTGGTGTCAAGTTGGACTGTTGTGAAAATAAGCATGTACTCACCTGCCTCAATAGACAGTAATGGCTAACTGTTTTAGGCTTGTAATTGCATCCTAGTTACCTTGGACTGAGCAAAAGGACAGAGAGGAGAAACAGACCTCAGTTTTCAGAAAATTCGCTAATTGCGTCCCGAAAGTAAATCCTTCCTGATAGCTCAAATTTAAAATTAGGTTCCTAATTATTCCAAGCTGAGAAGTTGCTGAAGAAAAGGAGATGTGTTGCTACATGAATATTCTCTGTGATTTTTGTTCTTGATGGTGCTGTAAAGTAGGTTTTTATCCTTTTGTAACTCTTCTGTGCATCCTGTATCTTTCCAGAACTCATGCTCCATTTTATCTGTTCCTATGGAAGATGCAGACCCACATTCCCTGACTAAGGATGACTACTGAGAAGTATTCATCCCCCTAGAGAGTTTTGCAGGTGTGAACACTTGGCCAGAACAAAATCAATTAGCTATTTTTTCATGTAGAGGAAGGAGTTATTAGGGACTCTGTAGGAGAGAATGCCAAGCGTTTCTCTCTGTGCCAGTGATGTAGCCTAGTGCTGCCCTAGGCCA